AGGCACCAGGAAGAATTTAAGACATGAGCAGCAGCACCAGGGCAAAAACTAGATAGTCACTTCCTTCCAAACAGTACTGTAACAATGCTTGGGGTGAAGAGAGTGAAAAGGAAAAAAAGCTCTGAATTGTCTGAATTTAAGTCTGAAATGACTGAGTAAACTCTGACCACTAGGTAGAATGGGGAAATTGTTAAAAATAATATTATCACAAAAATAAAAAATACGTTTAAAAGATTTCTATATTATAGGTTTATATTAAAATATTAGAAAGTTTGCACACTTGAACTTGTGGCCTGAAAATTTTCTATGTGCTGCATAAAGTTCTTTGGCATATGATAGTTACAATTTTTTAAATGCCAAAACAACTCACAGGCCAAATATTTTAATATCATGTCTTTCCTCCAGTCACTCAGGAATTTCTCCTGCAACTGTCTTCAGAGCTGTTAGACAGCCAGTATCCCATGGGAAATACTTACTTGGCTTTGCTTTTATTTGTTTTTAAAATTTAAAAGAATTTTTTTTTTTGCCCCAAATAGTATTTACCAGCCATGGCTCTGAATGCTTGTTATTTCCCAAACTTATATGCCTCCTCATTAAGTTAAAATTTGTTTGTGCTTCCTCTCCCTCTTCGGAGAGGTTCAGCAAACTGACATAATAGGAAACAGGATGTCAGAGACAAAAATAAAATATTAACTGGAATAAGGCTTTAACTCAAAAGAGTTTGTTAAAACTAGAAAACTTTCTAGAAAGAACTTGGCTTGGAACTACGGCCAAATTTGTCCTTTGTGGGAAAGGCCAACAGTTTGCATTAAAAGCCTCTCTTCCCACCTCCAGTTCAGTGTACTGTATGTCAAATATACCTCAATAAAGATGTTTTTCAAAAAGAAAGTCTGTTCTCCCTTACACTCTCTACCTTTTGCTTTCTCTATACAGCTCCAATATCATTTGAGACTTTTGCAATAAGATAGATTTTATGTATTCTTAAGTAATAAGTAAATAAATAAATAAGCATGAGAATCTAAAAAAAATCTCCCCTCTAAGTCTCAGGCCTAGATCCCTCCTACATTCCCTGAAGAAGCATTAAGTAGACAGCAGAGAATGGAAGGAATGATGTAAAGCAGGCAAGAGACAGACAGGACATAGGGAAATGGGCCCATTATAACTGAAGAATTTGGAGTCTGATTTTTCTCATTCTTATGTACCTCTCAAGGAAATATCAGAACCCCCAAGCAGCCAACTTTGGCCTTAATATTGGACTGAGAGTATTTCAGAGATGGTTAATGCTAGTCTCTTGATCAGCCAGCAAGAGAAGGTAGCCTATTAAGAGTGAAAAGAAAACCAGACTTTAGGTCAAAATATCAAAGTTCTGATTTTGGCTCTGCTTATAGCTATGTAATGTGCAAAACTCACTGAAGTTTTCCAGATCTCTGATTCCCTTTCTACCAAAGGTGCAGGTTAGAGAAGATTAATTTCCCTTTCAGCACTAAAATTCCACTTCTAGTCTTAGAACATACACAGATCACAGCAGAAACTTTATTATAAATGTCAAACACATCCACAGGGACACTCTGTTCTTCAAATCTCCACCTGCTCATCAACTAGTTCACGACCAGGAGTCAGAAGGCTCCCAGTCAAAAGAGTGTCCTGTCACCTGGGACAAATGTGTCTCGTCAGGAACAATGGACAAGCAATTGCAGCAACAGCAGCAGTAGTAGCTCTAACTTCCTAATTGAAATGAGAAGCCAGGTGGCCCCATTTTTAATCTTTCGGGGTTGAATGAGAGACTGGTATGGACACATTTCCTTCACCCACATGGGTCCTACTGTTAAGATCCCAGACATCAGCCTGCAACCAATTACAGATGTACAACCTTTGACCTCCAAAGTTGAGTCGAAGTCTCCTATGGAACAAGGAGGAATGGAGAGATACATAAATGTTTTAGGAAATCAGAGAAGAATCCAGTCCCCCCTCACTCCTGGGCCCCTGAGTGTCAGAACTTCTTGGGATCCACTCAGATGTCTGGTTTTCCAGCCTCTGAATTCATCAGATGTTCAGTTTACCTCCAATGATCTCAAGTCTTCCTTGATAGCATCGAGTTGTACCATTGGGACAGAGAAGAGAAGGTGCACTCAAACAGTTCCCCAAAGCCACACAGGTTGGGCAACGGAGGGTTGTTGATGCTTTGGAAACTGGAGGGCAAAAGAGAAGGATAATTAAGGGTATGTCCTGCCTCTGAAGTTGTT